TTGTTTAAGGAGCTCTGAAAGAGTTCACATGTAAGCCATACTGCCTAAGTGGTAAAGACCTAAAAGTAGGAAAAATTTGGTTGGGCATAATAGTAATTGCACGAACAAGATAAATATATTTTAAAATAAGGATGTGCTATAGTTAGGTCTAGACTAAAAGATTTTTCAATTGTTACCTATAACCAGAACTTCTGACTATTAAACATGACTTTTCTAGATGCATGATCCAGTAATTTTATTTACTGTAGCATTTGATAGCTTATTAACGTTTACTGCACCTCTGGTGATACATTGTAAATTAGTCATTATCCAACAGCTCTAATTTAAAAATGAAATAAAATAAATTTGATACTTTTTTATAAAAAAAAAATTCATATGAGCTGAATATAGTAGCACATGCCTGATCCCAGTACCTGAAAGGCTGAGGCAGGAGGAATGTGAGTTTGAGGACAGCTTGGGCTACATGGTGAGATCCTATTAAAAAAACAAAAAACAAAAAACCACCTGTCTAGTAGCAATGAGGAGAGCATGGAAGGATCTGAAATTGGATTCAGAGAAGAACAGTACGGGCAGAAGATGAGAGTCTGGAGCACAGACAAAGCAATGACAGAGATGTAAATATCAGAGAAATTTTCATCTTACAACCAATAGGAATTAGTAATGACAGGCCACGGGACAATGTAGTTTCAGGTTTGGGGGTAATGTTATAAACAGATCACAATGTGGTGGTAAGGCCCAAGCATTAAGAGGAAAAAGGGTAAGGAAGGGTAATGACGTTACCGAAATATTTCAAGAGAGAGCATGTAAGAAAGGTAGAGTACATTTCTTCCTTTTCCTTGTAGTAGCAATAATTAAACCTAAGGACTCTTGTACACTGGACAAATACCCTATCATTATATCCTCAGCACTTTTAAAATTTTGAGACAAAATCTTGCTAAATTGCCCAAGCTGGGCCTGAATTTGCAACCCTCATTTTATGTTCCTTTCATGAATCCTCTGCTCTAGCCCCACATATCACTACGATTTGAAAGGCATGGATTTGTTTCACTTTCATTTATGTTGCCCTGTAACTGAAATGGTGTTGCCCTCCACTGATGTTTCATTTAATCTTACATAAAACTGTTATGTCCCACATGGTATCAGTCCTTCTTTATAAAATTTCCTTCACTACCCCTGTCAGAACGATCTCGCCTTTCTTCTAGGGTTCTTACTGCATCCTAGTATGTGGTATGGGTGACAATCTTTTGTGTCTGTACATCTTTTATCCCCCATAATTGGGACATCCAATACCATATTATATTTAATCATCCCCATAATGCCTTGCTTATATAAGTAGAGAATACTTTTTCAGTTAGACT